AGGAGGGGGTGAATCAACCTTGAGCATATCACAGAACGAGGGAATTGCATTAACCCTCATTAGCTACTCGTTCTCCGTTTTTTATTCTCGGGAACAGACGCTACGTTGTTCAAGTTTGAAAATGGCGGTCTGTATTCATTGCTGTGTAGTGGTATAAATATCGATAATGTGACGTCATATTTCGACGCTGCTGTGCCACCTGGGACGCCGGCGCCGTACGTGTCGAGCTTGGCAACAAGTTGGAGAGTTAAGTGATGTCAGTATCCAATATGGAGGGGTCTCGCTGAGAAATCCCTACACTCCACGGCCTAAAATGTGCCGTTGAAAAGTAAAATTGTGCCTAGTGTTGAAATAGTTATTTGCACTTGAAGTCAGCATGGGTTCGAGATTTGCTTCGTTAATAAGGATTTGCAGGGCAAACATGTCTCGGACTAGTAAGTAGGTGTGAAACAGTTAAGCATATGGTAAGGCTGGTGATACGTGCTTGTCTTAAATGGTTTTAAAATTGTCGTGACTTCATATAAATTGGCTGCCTTACCTGCTGCTTTATCTTTAGTAACCTTGTGGTATTTGCAATACGCATTTTGAGGCGATTGCATTGCTTAGATTCCGTTACCGAAAATCGACATTTCGATTAACCGATTCCTTTTGGAGGAGACCGTATAATTAATTGTTTTAATGTTAAGTATTTTGTCAAATACTTGATATTGCATATTGTCTATGGCAGATTTGAAGACTCAGATGAGTCGTTTATTATATCATCAACAACAACATAAAGAGCTCTGCTTCGTATTCAGGAGGGCCAGGGTTCAAATCCTGGTCTGGAGACCAGCTACCACGCCTGAGGTTTTTTTCCACAGTCTTTCCAGTTAAATACCGGTGTACACAAAAAAGCTACGACCACTTCCTTACTTATCCTTTCCGATTCATTATTTGCCATATCATCCTATGCTATATAGTATAAGCTACTGGTAACGTCGTTAAACCCCGCAGATAAAACTTGAAGTGGCTGCCTAATTCGGGAACAAATTTAACGAGCTGACTACGTTTACGTACGAGGATATCAGGTTTATTCCCATTGTAATGAAGTTTTGAGTCATAGAACTGCTCACTGAGGAGCTTAATAACTCGAACTCTTCATAAAATATCAATAGGATGATCAAATCATGGAGTATGAGATGGGTAAGACATGTAGAACGCAAGGGAGATGCGTCACGCGTGTCAGATTTTTGTCGGAGAACCTAAAAGGAAGATTATCCCACGTGGAAGACCGAGACATAGATATGAGGATATTATTAAATTGGATTTTGAAGAAATAGGATAGGGTGTGGATGGGATTTATCTGGCTCAGGATAGGAAACAGTGGCTGGCTGATGGGAATTCGGTAATGAACGGATTCCGTAAAAGCAGCGATTTCCTAAGTAGCTGAGCGACTATTAGCTTGTCAAGAAGGTCTCTGGTTCATGGGGTTATCATCATCATCGTTATGATTGAGTCAGTAAAGTTACTAGCTCTGGATTTATCGACCAGAATTCTATTACCAGTGCGGATGTTTGTATTTTTCTCGCTATCAAGAAGCCCACAGTCTCCTTTGGTAGATCACAGAGTCTTATTGTCTTCGGTTTGTTCGTTGTTGAGACAGTTGTGCTGCGTAAAAAGAGAGAAGGTTTTATCATTCCTCAGCAACATTCACGATACCAGCGTGTTTTGCAATCCCAGGAACATTCTTGGTCAAAACTCGTTGTTTTTCTTTGATGGCATTGATAACGAATGTAAAACCGAAGGTCTCTGGGGAAGAAATAAATCCTACATTGACTGCCCTAGTAGCAAACCCGGGCCTTCACTGTGAGGAGTCGGTGACAAATTCCCTCACCTGTGGCCCGTCAAGCAGAGGCCGTACATCTTCGGTAACTTCTTGTTGATAGCAAAAATTGAGGGGTTGTTAATCGGACACGCAGTGCAGACAGGAGTGATCTGTGTAGCCTATTTCACTGCAGAGTTTAAATGTACAACATAAGCAGCTATCCTTATTCTTTTGCCAGACAATGGTTAGTAAACATTACACATTGTCTACTTGATCGTTGAATGTATCAGCATTTTCGTTAAAATCTGCGTAATTCTCGGTGTCACTAGCAGTGCCGTTGAAATTCAACGGGAATAAAAAATAAACATGTTTCTTTTTGCAATACTCCGTTAAGAAATCTACAGTTTAATGAAATAAATAAAAATTAAAAAAATCCCAGGGATTTTCTTTCATTTGCCATTTTTCTGTGACACACTGTTGTGTAAGTACTTTGGACACATCTGTGCAAAATTATGAAAACAGAAAAATCAGTTATTTTCCCTGGTATTGTCTCTCCAAGAGGAACCCCTTCTTATTTGCCCTTTTTTCTGTGACAAGCCATTTGGAAGAAACGCTGTTGTATAAGTTTTTGGATACAAATCTGGACTATAGGGAGGGTGCTGTAGGACCTTCCATCCAAATGTTGATAGTCATTGCCATGTCATGCCTGCTGTGTGCAGGCGCGGATTGTCATGGATTAAGATCACAACTACTAACTAGATTATATATAATCCGTGGCGTAACAGCCCTCTGAGAGCCAAAGCCAACTAGCTGGCTGCTGGCCTCATGTTCACATGCCTAAGCAGAGGTGAACGATCATCCAACCAGATATAGGGTGACATGTGGTCAGCACGACGAACCCCCAGCCATTGCTAATTTCCATGACCGGATTACGCTACCCATTGTAGCTCCCCAATTTTCTCATGATGCTGGGTTGGCACCGGTCCCATACACTGGTCGAAAATCTCATGAGAAATTTCTTTCCCGGAGACTTGAACCAGCGCGCATTCCGTATCACCGGTCCGAAGCACGATGCCTCAGACGGTAAATGAAGTGACCACTCATTACTATTTTCTTGTTCACTACAATTTCTTAGAAATACCTCCTAGTTATAATGGTATGTGTTTGGTAACATATGCTTACAGTAGTGTGTTGTAAGCAAATATTAAAATAAAATATATGCTTTGTTCATTACATGCTTCGTGTGGACAGCATAAATAATGCCAGTATGTGCTTGCATTGATATTGAAAGGGTTTTACATCTCTTCTGTTTGCAGATGAAGATGTGGAAACAAATTCTGTGGTCACAGAAGTTATAGACGAGACTACCACAGAACATCGTATCATCTTTGTGAATCACCTACAGCCTACCCGGTACTGCAATAACCACATCTCCACTGCCAAATACAGCGCCCTGTCTTTTGTGCCAAGCTTCCTCTTTGAGCAGTTTCGGAGATATTCAAACTGTTTCTTTCTTTTCATAGCACTGTTGCAGGTTAGTTTTGTTATACATTGACTAAATTTGTATTAAAATGGAACTGTAGAAGTGCTCTGTTGTGTTTTGGTGTCGTTGGCCAAATTAATATTTAGATCAATTAGTTAATTCAAATGGAGAGAATCTATACAATGTATTTCAGGAGTAAAAAGAGGGAATGTCTGAACGACAAAATTAATGAGCTTGCAACACATAATAAGAACAAGATCATTGGAGACTTATACAGACTGGGAGCCCTCAGCAGTGTTAGTGAGCACAGTGAACTGGGTCAACGCCTTTCGTTCATTCTTTCCCATATTAGACCAGATATATGAGTGGATGATACATGTACTTTGCTTGATGGCCAGACTCTAATCATTGTCTGTGCATTGAAGTATGTGCTTGAAACATTGGAAAGTGTTTCTCCAATCATGGAGATTTGTGTCAGCGTCAGTATAAATGAAGAGTATAACAAGATTGCGAGTACTGACATTATTTGTTCTGGCCAGTCCAAAAAGTCTTGTCTTCTTGACAGAAAGATAGTTGATTTAACCCTTAATGTATGGTGGGATTTAAATCATACTATGGGCTGCTTGCTGGAATTTAGCTACAAGGTGAATGGTTTAGCATTATGATCCTGTAACACACAGGCAGTTGGAACATGTATGAACCATGATATATGGCTAATAAAGGTTTAAAAAGATGGTAATGCATAAATATCTATTTCTTGGTTTGTTTAAAAAATGTTCTATTCTGTAGTAACTGAGAAAAGTTTGCCACAAAAGGTAATGAGCAACTTCTACGTCCTAAGACATTTTAACATGATGTAAATCATAAAATACAATTAACTAATTTACCTAATATATTTGAGATCTGTGTTGATTCCAGTAGCAGTCTTACGTGAGCATCACATCTGTTCAATTTCTGTTCAGGGCTTGGGTATTTGTCCGTATTTTTCTGTGCTGTCGTACTAAGTTAAAGAGGTCTTGTGATTGATTGAAGGAATCTTACTATCTGTATCAGATTTAGATAGTGTGTGCATAAAGTGAACACATAATTGGGAAGTGGTGTCTCTATATTAATGTAGACTTTCTTTTTTAGCAAATTCCAGATGTCTCCCCAACTGGTCGGTACACAACTCTGGTTCCTCTCATATTCATTCTCAGTGTATCAGCTATCAAGGAGGTTGTTGAAGACATAGTGAGTTTTAAAACATTCACTTTTTCATTGTCTTCCTATTTTTGATGTGACGAATATACTTTGTTCTTATATTATGTCTATCTTATGTGTAACAAACTAATAAGGCATATTCCTTACCAGAATACACGTAATATCCACATGCATTATCTGCAGCATGCATTTAGAGGTATTAAATTTGCCTTGTTCAATAGTTCTTACTTTGGCCATCAGGTTGCAGCACCTCATTGTCAACCTCATAACTTCCCTCATTCGTCATTTTATTATAACTGCTCGTAGGATATTCAAAAGTGGACTACATGTAGAGAGTGGTTACATATCCTTAGAACTTCAGATAGCACTGTTAAGCAAGACAGAATTTTATTAGGTATAGCAACATTTAAGTACAACCAAAATGTTTGCACTTTTGCATAGTTTGTAACAAATAGTCTCATTGTGGTGAGATTTCAGGTTCTCACAGCTGCAAGTATTAAGAAGATTGTCATCTGGGATGTTGTGCCATGTAGTCTGGTAGAAGTTTATGTTGTTTCAGAGGTTCTTACTGCCTCCATCATCAGGGTAATAAGTGATGATAGAGTTAGTAAGCACCTTTTAAATGTCATTAAACTGCTACCAGACTACATGATGCAACATCCAAGGAGATGGTCACTTACAAATAGTCCCATTGTTTTATTGTTTGTGGATCCTCAGCTGTTAATCACAAAATCAGAATGATGTGGAACATGTTGTGTTACACAATTTCAATGACTACACTTTTCAGGGAAAGGATGTTTAATTGCATTACTGAATTTGTGAAGGTAGGCAATTTTCATTCTTCTCTTGTTTATCAGAATTGGCTCAAATGGACAGACAGATTTGCCTAGAAATGTCAGAAAACTGAAGATTACTGAAACTGCCACAGACATTATTCCTGACATGTTTAATCATGTATTGTAAGGGAGTGACCTAAACCATGCGCTGCTCTTGTCCTTTGCATGATTTAAATGTATGTAGTGTGTGCAGGAACATAACCACTGCATAATTTATGTACTTTTTTATTTAGAGTTAATTTTCTAGGTAGTATGTTGTTGAACTTGTGTGTATATCTAACAGAAACGGCATCGAGCAGATGATGAAATCAACCACCGTAAAGTTGAAGTGTTACGAGATGGTCATTGGCTGTGGGTGCAGTGGCTAAATGTGGCAGTTGGAGATATTGTTAAGGTCCACAACAACACTTTCTTTCCAGCAGATTTAGCCATCCTGTCCTCTAGGTAATAATCAATTAGTTCTGTTTATGAGAGAAGAATTACAGAATAATGATAGAGAAACATCTTGAAAGAATGAGAAGGAATAGAAGAGATTGTAAGAATTGGAGGCGGTTGGAACTAGTTCATGGTTGTCTCTAGTGACAGGCTATTGTTTTAGTAATTTTGAAGTTTCAGATTCTTCTGTCAGAAAGTTGGTTAAAGTAACAGCAAGATGTGAGTTGGGTGTTACTTTTCTACATTAAATATATTGATGCTCATTATATTTACTATATAGGAACAATATTTCTTCTGTTGGATATAGTAACATACATATTTCCGCCTGTTACTTTGAATAACAACCATAGAACTGCCTTCATTATCTGAATGGTTCTGTTGATTATTGGGGTCATGTGGTTAGCCATAAAGAAGATTTGTTTGCCAGTTTTAACAGTATTGTATTTTTTACAGTGAGCCTCAAGCAATTTGTTATATTGAAACATCAAATCTAGATGGAGAAACAAACCTGAAAATTCGTCAGGCGATACCTGAAACAGCAAGATTGCTTGAAATTAAAGACCTCACCCAATTCACTGGTACTCTAGAGTGTGAACTACCCAACAGACATCTTTATGAGTTCAGTGGCATCTTGAAGGAAACAAATAAACAGTATGTTTTAGAGATTGTTGTTTATTGAAAAAGTGACCCAGTAATAGTGTAATGTTTTAAGGGATTAGAAAATTTTGACATGCACATGTTGAGAGAACACTAATGCTGTTCTGCAGGAGCAGAGCACATCCAGTAGCTGAGAAAGTAACTCACTGGTGAAAGTTTGTACTATATACACAAAGTATGCCATATAATCGAAATTAAATTCATTTTGCATTTGTGAGTTTAATCACTGGATATAGGCACCCAAGAAATGCACCTTTCATGGCACTGTACCTTGTTCTAATTTTGTTTCCATTAGGTATTTGAGAGCATAAAGAACTCAAAGCCTGAACCACAGTCCTTTTTTGCTAATTGCCATATTTACAATTTTTAGAATGCTGTTTGTTTTTTAGAAAGTATTCTTTCAATTTTTTTTCTGTCTTATGGTGTATGTTTCTGTGGCACCAGTTTGAAAAGGTAAGTTTCTTATGAGTACATTTCCAAGGTATCCTGCGGCTTATGATACACAGTATTGTAGTTCATTTAAGGACACTTGTTGTTCAGATCATATGGCATTCTGAAGTTTAACAGTTCAATTACTTTTTGTCTGAGACTAGTGGATGAAACCATTCAGTTTTACTCCTTTCCATTTTTTTATAGTTTAAATAATATAATTATGTAGCACATATTTGTCAGCACCCCGTGACTTGTATGGAGAAGCAGTTAAATACCTTAGAGCTTTTAAATCAGGCTTATGACAACGAAGACTTTATTCTTTGTAATTTTTCTCTCTGATTTGCATTTGGATAGTGCCAGTTATTATTGTCTGGTTTGAATGTGTTGATGTGTTGACAGATTTTAGTAGAACTTCTGAGTATGATATTTCTTGAATATCCATTTAGAAGTTCTCATATTTTTCAAGTGGGCAGCAGAGAGACACATGGCGAAGTTAGTAGGCACATTATTACAAGTTTTATTTGTGAATGCACCTGAAAAATATGAATATATTAACTAAAGCAGTGTTTTACATATCCATACATGCATCTCATCAGAGAGTTCAACGTGTTATGATTGGAACTAAACACTGCACAAAATCATTACAGGACACTCCCACTAGGCCCAGATCAACTTCTTTTGCGTGGGGCCATGCTTCGAAACACCAGTTGGGTGTTTGGTATTGTTATTTATACTGGCCATGAGACAAAGTTGATGAAGAACTCAACATCAGCTCCATTGAAACGATCGACAGTAGACAAGATGACCAATAGACAGATACTTCTCCTTTTCATCATTCTCATTGTTCTTTGCCTCCTATCAGCAGTTTTTAGTGAACTGTGGAGTACGAGTCACCCCAATGATTGGTACATTGGAATAAATGGTAAGGTATATCTGGAAAAGCTGGTAAGATTTTATTTTTGTCTTTTATTCAATATTGAATGACTTCATAATTTCCTAAACTACTTGATGTAATTTAAATTAGTGAGAAATTCCTAACAGCAAGCGCTTCACAGTAGTAACTGGTATTAATTCTTTGTAGTGATGATTATATGTGTGGTGATTTAAATATCAGTTTTGTTTGTTTCTATTTTTTATGTGATTCATCTGTTTGTTTTACAGGTGATATTTATTAGGTGCAGTAAGCACAAAGTACTTTTACATCTTTAGGGCATTAACAAATTTATTGACACTATGTGTGATCAATTACCATTCTAATATAACCAGAAATATAAAGTTTTACTTTCAACTGCTATCTGTGTTCGGTATCTTTTTGTTTGTGATAAAACATGTCAGGCATGATGTCTTTGATGACTTCAGTAATCTTGTTTTGTAGTTTCCTCACATTTAATATACATGATTTGAACGTTTTTCTGTGACAGATTCCGTTATTTGTAAGTCCTGTGATGAATGAAAAGGCCATGCAGTTGGTCCACCTCACTAAATTTATTTGCCTGGGAATTTATCATTTAGAAAATCTTTTGATTAAAAACATTATCACTGGAATTTTGTATTCGATGCATTGAATTATTTTTCTAATCCCACAACTCAACCATAATAAACTTTGAATGTTAGTGTGACTAAAGAAATTTCTTCAGTGGAGTTATGTGTATAATTTTTGGAATTGATAATTGTGATACTTGGAATTTTGTTGTATTTTACAGTAATAAAGTTTCTGTATATTTAATATTTTATCTTTTGTTTTAGGAATGTTTAATTTGTTACAAATTTGTTTCAGACCTAATAAATGCAAACTTTGGATACAATCTGCTGACATTTATCATATTATATAACAATCTGATTCCCATCTCACTGCAAGTGTCGTTGGAAGTTGTGCGATTTGTTCAGGTGAGACACAATGTAGTTTGTTTGTTGGAAATTTCCAAGTCTTTGGTTTCATGTTAAGTGTGGTGCTTATACGATTCAAGAATATGCAAAACATAAAAAGTAAAACTTTCTTACCCATGACTTAAAGGGTTAAAAACAAAATTATTTGACAGTTGACAAAAGTGCACATTTTCCAGAATTTTCTTGCTGTGATCCTCTTGATCATCTTTCTTTGTCACACACACAGTGTAATTGTAGAATAGATTTAAATAATATATTGTTAGGTATAGGAAGATTAGTATTCAAGGAAAATACATGTTATTATTTTAAACAAAAGTATTAATAGAAGCATGCTGTTTTCTATCACACACTCTAATAGTGAATAGCAGAAAAATAAGCACTATTCCAAAGAAATTACAATATTCATTGTCTCACCAAATATTATAGTTGAGTGGTTAGCTCTCCAGCTGCATATTCAGGAGGTCCTGGGTTCAAATCTCAGTTTTAAAATGAGAGATGAAAAATGCATAAATTTTTTTGTAAAGATCTTGAAGTGGGGAGATACCTGGGAAGACATTAGTATAAATGGTAGGATAGCAGCTAACTATATATTATAGAAACAGGTTGTGGCCTGGATACATCTGGCTTTCATTAGAGATACATGCCAAGCTTTTACGAACACGTTAATGAAACTCTGAGATCCGTAAATGGTGCAGAATTTCTTCATTTGCTCAGTGATTGTTGGCTTCTGAAGAAGGTCATTCATGGAGTTACCTAGTTATGGGCCTGTAAATGTGTAAATAATTATAATTTAGAGGTGTGAGAAAGAATTACTTGCATTAATTAGTCTCATATTAGTGTAGGACATCATGACCAAATGATGTTACAACTTCTTGTGCATGTTTGTTTGAGACCAGTTTAGACGTGACCAAGATTTGTTGTTTCTCCTAAACTTTGATGCAGATCAGTATCTTTTTATGTAGTCATTTCAAGGGATAGTATAAGTGTAGATGTAGAGTTATAGTTCTTTGAGTAGAGTGCTTAATATGAAACAAGTAAAATGATTTATTGTCGTGTTTTGATCAAAATTCCAGGTCAAATTTGAACCACCTGTACACAAACTTATATGTACTTGATAAATTTGTTTTCTTGTTTCATGTTGTGCATAACAACTTTTAAATCTTTGTTGTTGTTTTTTTATCTTTCAGGCTATATTTATAAATATGGATACTGATATGTATCATGAAGAAAGTGACACTCCAGCAATGGCAAGAACTTCCAACTTGAATGAAGAATTAGGACAGGTAATATTTATCAGAGTATAGATCAAAATATTATTTTAAAAAAGCTAAGAATGCTTTATATGAAAGTTGATATTAAATTATTTTTTATATTTTATGACCTAATAAATATTTATTAGTTTATTTTAATTTTGTAAAATAATTGTTTTTATGTGCAATTTTTAATGGTGTGTGCTATATTTACATGCTTAATTATCATCCTCAGACAGTGGTTACATTTCACTTTGATGTTATGGAATGAGTATTTTTTGGTTCTGTGCACTGATTTGTATAATATTTTTGTTCAGTTTTGTTTATTAATGTTATTGTTACTCAGGTTAATTGGTATGCTTCTTTTTGAAGTGAATGATATTACTGTTGGCACCATACATACCGAACCACTGGTATAGTGATGTTATGGTCAATATTTTTATCTTAGTGCAAGAAGATGGACAAATTCAGGAGTTCTTGGAATGATTTAAATTGGAATTCAGAATTTTTTTAAGAGTGTAATCATTTTATGTGTAAATATGTTGTTACTATTTATTCAATCCCTTTTTAAGATTTTGTAGATTTTTTCCTAATTTGCTTTCAACTTTGCTTCTAGGTGAAATATATATTTTCAGATAAGACTGGAACATTGACAAGGAATGTGATGGACTTTAAAAAATGTTCAATAGCTGATAATATTTATACCTTAGAGGAGACACCATATGAGACTCAATTAGTTAAGGTAATGTTTAATGTGCATTGTTGCATGCCCTGTATGGTTACATTATGAGAATGCACTTTGGAGTTTGTATCCTCATTACATAATACAGTTTTGATTTTCCATGCTAATGGAAGGGGGGAAAAAAAAAAGGATTTTCACAGTGGTGAGTCTGAAGATTGCTGTCTTCTGGGTTATTGCGGTGTGGAAATCTGCCGGACTACATGGCGCAAATATCCAGGATTCAGCAATCTTCAAGGGAAAAGTAGCTTATTTAATTTAAAAGCATGGATAAACCATTGTTTTCTTCTTACCAATTTGCACACATGTTATAATAATAAGTTTAGTATGTTTCAAGTAAGAGAAACCCTGTATCTCCTCTAATTTAGTGCATCCCCCAACAAATATGGCAAAGCGCAATGTGGGAAGTGTAGAGAGATAAAACTTTGTTCACAAGTGACTGCTTGTATGACAGTATGTAGTTTCAATAAATTCAATAATTATTTGATTCAGGGGAAAAATATCCATAGATAAGTAACAAACCAAAATTACATACATGGATAAGCAGTTGCATGTCATAGGTTCAGTGTTTATATACATACTCATACCCACTCATCCTGCATGTCACATGTGCTCATCATATAACCCCTTACCATGCCATGTAAATTTACTGTTTCTTGATGCCATTTAACTTAAATGCCCTTTCTAAAACTTTGTGTATGTACATTAAATGTGGCAAGGGGCATACAATTTTAGTGTGTTTGGTAAAATGCATAACTACCATAAGTATGTATGTTGATTGTGATATTCTGGGTTGTGATGCCGTGGTGACCACCCACAAGACTCATAACATTACAACTCAGAATGCCACAGTTGACATCTTCACAGCTGTGATAACCTCAGAATGTATTGTGTTACAGTTTAAGGTGTTCATATGCATAGTGTTTTATGAAAATTGAGTCTACTGAGAATCAGTGGTTATAATAGCTGATACATAGTAAAATTAAACATGAACAGTGTGTGTTTATAGTGACTTAGAAGTGCTAACAAAATGTGCCCTCTACTCTAGCAGAGATGTAATCTCTAAGTTGAAATCTGGCTTTGTTATTCAAAATATAAATGAGTTACGGAGACCATTGTAAAGTTACCGCATGATCCTGATTATAGAATTTTTATGTTAATAAAAACTGGTTATCAGACAGTTTCCTTGTCTTCCACACGTTTTTGAATCCCATTGTTTGATCCAAGCAAAACTAGAGACACAGAATTTTGAAATCTGACTTTGGTAATGTTATACATCATATACCATTTAAAGATACATAACCATCATTTAACTTTACATGTTACAGTATTCTTTGCTTTTTTATATGTAAATATTATACTTTTTTACTGCAAGGTTTATTATGTTTGTCTTTTCATCATCTTTGTGTGTATGTTAAAAAAACAATCAGTGAGATTTCAGGTTTTCACAGTGTTCATTATAAAGATGACTGACTTGTGAAATGTTGCTCCATGTAGTCTGATAGAAGTTTACTGACATTTCAGAGGTACTTGTTGCCTCCAACATCAGGATGATTGCCCTGGCTGCCCTTACATGGCACAGCTTCCCAGAAGACAGTGATTAAAAAGTATTTCCTTCAAGCTACTGTCCCTGCTTTTGTCCAGAGCTACTGAAGGCTGCGTTAGAACCAGCAAATCTTGATAGATTGTGTTGCATTTTTGTTTAACAGAATCTCCAGTCAGGTCACCCCACAGCACCGTATATCAGAGAGTTCCTCATCCTTATGTCTGTGTGTCACACAGTGATTCCAGAAAAGGCATATGATAATGAGATCCATTACCATGCTGCTTCTCCAGGTAGGATGCTTGTAAGAGTTAGAATAAATTTAAACTTATACATAGTGTCCAAAAGAGACCTATACACACTTTTAATAAATGAAATAAAGACATTTTAATAAACTAATCCATTACATATGTCAATATTAGCACTTAGTGAATTAGTGAATCTAGTGAAGGTATTCAGAATGACCACTGTTAGCAATGACTCTGTATTCATAGTAACAGGTGTAGTAGTGAATCACATGTGAGAAGGCTGAAACTCACTATAGCTGGATTATTTTAGATATTATACATGAAATAACAAAGGTGTGGGAATAAGTAAAGGCTATTAATTACCATAAGAAAATTGTGGATAAAGATGTTTCTGGGAAATGAAGGAAATGAATGCTGGATTCTCATGAAGAAGCAATTTCCATGTGTCTTAGCCACCACCTTGACCATTTAGGGGTCTGACTATGTTATCAATGAGAACAGTGAACAGCAGTTTGAAGTCAGCTTATCCCTGATTAGGAGGTACTTACAAATGAAGACAACAGTTTGGTATACAGATAAATAAAATATATCCACATATGTAACATTAGTTGTAGCTTCAAAATTACAAACATGACAACAAGTTGTGCCTGAAAACTCTGATGTAGGAATCTATGCTACTGCAATATTTGTACACAGGTGGATCACTGATCTGTATAATTATTAATTTATGTGTTCTGTTAGTCTTTGTATAGATGCTTTGTCTCCATTGCTCTTTAACATTGTGCTAGAATACGCTATCAGGAAAGTCCAAGATAGACAGGAGGGTTTGCTATTGAATGGGACACATCAGCTATTGGCATATGCTGATGATGTTAATTTATTGAGTGACAATATAAATACAATAAAGAGGAACACAGAAGTTTTACTAGAAGCTAGTAGAAATGTGGGGCTTGAAGTAATTTCAGAAAAAACTTAGTACATGTTAGTATCTCGTCGTCAGCAGACAGGCGGGCAGAACTATCTTAGGGTGGCTAATAAATCCTTTGAAAGTGTGACAGAGTTCAAATACTTGGGAACAACAATAACAAATCAAAATGATACTCATGAGGAAGTTAGGAGGAGACTAATTTCCGGAAATGCTTGCTGCTACTCAGTTCAAAATATTTTGTCTTCCCGTCTGATTTCTCAGAACCTGAAAATTAAAGTATACAAAACAATAATTTTGCCTATTGTTTTGTATGGGTGCAAAACATGGTCTCTCCTTCAGAGGGAGGAACATAGATGTTTTAGAATAGGGTGTTGAAGAGGATATTTGGGCCTAGGAGAGAAGATGATGGAGTGTGGAGAAAGCTGCATAATGACATACTGATGTGCTTAAAAATTTATACTCCTCCCTAAGTGTTGTTAGGGTGATGAAGTCAAAAAAATGAGAGGGTGGGACAAGAGGTGTGCACCGTATATTGGTCAGGAAGCCTGGGGAAGAGACTGCTTCAGATACCTAGACATAGATGGGAGGATAATCTCAGGTGAATCTGTGGGAGATAGGAGTTTAAGGAGACTGGATTTTGTTGACCCAGGACAGGGTCCAGTGGAGGGCTTTGGTTAGTTCGGTGATGAGCCTTCAGGTTCCGTAAGCCATGTGGTTAGTCTTTGTATACAGATGGGAAACATTTGAGGAAAACATGCTTATAAGTTCTCACCAGTTCTTTTACTAGTTAGATATTTTGGTGATAGGCCTTGCTTTAGCCAAAATATTTGTGACATAATCATCCTTAGCAGCAGCATCATGGTCTGAGCCCAGTTCGCTCTTTCCAGCTGCAGGTTCAAAGAACACGAGACTAATGTACTGCAAATTAAACATGAGGGCTGATTATAAGTTTAATTTCTAATGGAAAGGGTAAATCCTGTGGAAAATATAGGAGGTTTATATGATGAATTCTTGTTCATTATTAATCTTTATCATCACGGCTGTCATATTTAGTGACTTTTCCAAATTAGCACTAAACACTCATTGTTTCTTCTAACAGATGAACAAGCATTAGTCAAAGGTGCCTGCCAATTTGGTTATGTTTTTGACACACGGACACCTAATCATGTTGAGATTGATGCACTTGGGACCCGTGAGCGCTATGAGATATTAAACGTTCTTGAATTTACAAGCACTCGCAAGAGAATGTCGGTCATTGTTCGTAATCCTGACGGCCAGATAAAGCTCTACTGTAAAGGAGCTGATACAGTGATATATGAGAGGTATGTGCAACGTGTCAACATCCATCTTAATTTAATAATAGTTTGTAGAGCCTTATGTAAAACATAAATCCTGTTTTTTATTCCCCTTTATCATATATTGTAATCTTTATGTTTGTTTCCTCATAATATTACAGCATATTTATGATTATTATGCTTGGATTATTCAATTTGTGGCTTAGTCATACAAATCTGTTACTTTCATGCTTCTTGTCTTTATGTCAGATTTATCTTTTGTTCATGAAATTCTGTGTTGTCAAATATGCCGGTACTTGTAATTTTCATCTGTGATCCACTTTCCATATTATTTTTCTACCTACCAACCTATTAACTCCATACTGGAGGGTCTTTATCCAGGAGTAGATAATTTTGCAGTTCATTGTGGTCCAACTGGCGGCCCATCCAGCCAAAGACCATATGTAATCAGGCCCACAAAATTATTTACTAATTTGTTACTGATTTGTACAAGCAAGGATTTAAAGAAATTGTGATTCCTAACTCATCTGCTGCTTGACACAGAAGTTCCACACTTGCTAATGACTTGAAACCTTATCATAAAATGCCAGTTTCCAGGTGAAAATTGTGTCAGATACAAGCTGTTGCAGGAGATAATTTAAAATAATGTGTAACTCTATAGCAGTTTGAGAACATTTCAGTAAAGTGTATATTTGTGTATATACTAAGGTGAATTATCTTTTGAGAATAAGTATTGTTAAGGATAACAAAAACTGGCTATTAGTTTTCAAAAGTAGTGCCAGGAGGAGTTTCTTGGCCCTTTGGTACAATTGGAAAACTATTCTTGGCCCAAGGGAATAAAAATGTTGGACCACCCTGATTCATGTGATAAGAAATGCCATTTTAGTATCTTTCTTTACACTGAACTACACACCAATATGGAAAACTGCAGGTTAAAGCAGACAGTGAGAATTCAACCCTTTTCCACCTGCCATGACCACTACCATTATTACCATTGCTGCTGCTACTAATTTCATTCTTATTTGATTCTTCTCTGTAAGTCGTCTGTGAACCATACACACTTTGTCATGAAGGTTTTTAACATCATATGCCTGTTCAGCCCCATAAATATGTGAGATTTAGTAGTTTCTAACATCTTCATATTCCCAAAAATCGAGAACTGTTTAAATGAAGGTTGGACAGCACTCAAAGAGATTTCTGAAGAAGACTTACAAAATTGTTTCTGTCATTGTAACACTCTTGTAGAATTGTACAGATGTAGAAGGAGAACATTTTGAAGAATTTAAACAGTTGCTTTCTCTTGTCTGTCCATGTTCTTGCAGGTTTGGTACTAGGGATTACTAGAACCTGACGTTATTAGAGATAAACATGAAGTTTTGGGCTGTCTCTATGTTTGTAATTTTAAGTGTACCTAAAAATGTTCAATACAGAATCTGCAGTTCTGTATGTCACCATACCAAATTATATTTGTGTAGCTACAGCTGTTCCTAAAGTGTTGGTATAAAAGAAAGTATATACCAGGATATATATGTCATATGTTCATCATGTTGTTACATAATCATCTGCAGAAAAGTGACTTGCTGTCAACAGGAAAGGCACTTGCAGATTCATATAGTTGTCTCATTGTTATTTTACATTTTGTACCTAAACTGCCTTAATAAAATTTGCTTATTCTTTGAAGATATATGATCAAATGAACTTTCAGGGCTGTATCTGCAGACCACTTTTCTGGAAAACTTAGTTTTGAATCTGTAAGATAACATATTTTATATTCATATTTTCAAAGACTAATTTGATAGGTGTGTGTACTTGTTATACCCAGTGATATCAGACAGAAATATTATATGAAACCACATATATTGGATGTTTTTAAAAATGCAGACTTGCTCCAGATGGACAACTGTTCAGAGAAGAGACATTGAGGCACTTGGAAAACTTTGCAACCGAAGGCCTTCGAACACTTTGCTGTGCAGTTTCAGATGTATCTGATGATGCTTATGAGGTATGTTAGAATGATTTTCTGCTAAGATTTGAGCAGTGTGGTCTGAGTTACTGGGCATAGCCATAGCTGATTCTGTGGCCATGCGTCTTACCAAGAAGGTATAAAGTGAGTAATGAGGTAAAGTTGTATGCATTGTTGATCACAGTTGTAGAGAGAAGTGAGCTTTTGACTTCATACTGTAGGAATCAGGTTACATGCGAGTTCTTGGTGCTGGGTGAAGAACGAGGTAACAAGCACTGTATGCAAATCTCCACGCTTTTTATGTTTCAAAGGCATTGCATTGTTTAAAATCGCAGTACATAGATGAAACTGTTTTAGTTGTTAACAGATGTTAATTATATGTTGCTGACATTCCTAATATAATATATAAGCTTTCAATTTTTGTTAATAAAAGGAAAAAATTTCCATTCACATTTCTGTCCTTGTAATGGTGCCATGATAAATGTTTACTGCCAGATATTCAGACATTGCTTTTTACATCCCCGCCCAAAATGCTGTTTATGGTACACCCTTACACTAACACAACTGATAATAGTTTTATAAAAATTTGTCAAGCCATTTAAATTTTAAATTATATTATATTTTTAGATAGACAGGAAGACAAAAGGTTCTTAAGTGCATGGTTGCAGTCATGATACTTGGACCTGAGTTGGAAAATCACAGTGGATGGTAGAAGCTTACTTACTCACTGTGCTGTCCTATGCATAGAATTTCAATATTGTCTTCCCCACCTTATGTTGGCTAAAGCCACCAGTCCCATTTAATAAACTGAATCATGGTGTTACATTCCAGGAATGGAAAGATACATATTACAAAGCTAGTACATCTTTACAGTACCGAGAAAGGAAGCTGGAGGATGCTGCAAATCTTATAGAAAATAACTTGATTCTGTTGGGAGCAACTGCCATTGAAGACAAACTTCAGGATCAGGTATCACATTTAAAGTATTGAGAGATGGTCACAGTGGCAGAGGAGATAGTACTAGTAGTAGTAGCATTAGGATTGGTGATGGTGCTAGTATCATCACAACCACTGTGATGTCTGTTAGTACCACCATGACTACAGCTACCATTATCACTTAAAACACGTAACTTTCAAACAAACTTGCACATGTATTGTCACATTTGCATGTATTTAATTCAAAGCAAGGATTATTTTAAAACTGAAATGTAACTATTGTATTTCATAACTTCACAAGTCATAGTCTTATTTAAAGATTGTTACTTAAATGTAATAATTTATTATAGAGTTCATTGTGCTGTGTACTGTTAACCTTTAGGATACAGGACTTAAATTTTGTTTGCGCAGCCTCACAGCTGGTTTAAATTGGCATTTCAGTGCTGAAAGTGCAGATAGAATCATATGATCACAGTCTATTCACTGAACTTTTTAGCCTAAAGTCTCCAAATAAAGTGAAGACTGTTAAGTACATGGACAGCCTATATAACTTCAAAACTGGAAGTAATATGGTGTGGGGCATTATGGAAACAATGTGGTTAACAAAATTAACATATCTGTTGCTGTGACAAGTAGATTGCAATAAATATACTGAAGAACAGTTTATATTGGGGAGAGGTGATTATTTCATCATGTAACAGGGATCTACAAGTATTAACAGTACCTGTATCCAAATGCAGTTACTTTGGAATGTGAAATTACTTGGCATTTGTATAATACGTACTTAATAAATGATTGAGCCCAGTATACTGATAAAAACTAGAGCAGTTGTGTTATTTTAGACGTGTTCAAGAGAGAGACCCTGGAGCAAGGTATAAATATGTCAGAAGCCTGTCTTTATAAAATAAGGCTATTGGGCTAAAGAAAAATTCACTACTTTTCTGATGTTTACCATAAATATTGGAAAACTTTGGGGCAAAGGTGATTAATACAGGACATCAAAACAATTGAATAAGTTGTATTTTATAATGTGGTTTGTTTTATGCTCTTTGATTATTAAAATTTGTTTCTTTCTTTTTCCAGGTTCCAGAGACAATAGCCGCATTAATCAAGGCTGATATCCATGTGTGGGTTCTGACAGGTGACAAGCAAGAGACTGCAATTAATATTGGCTACTCTTGCAAGTTGATAGTCCATGGGATGCCGTTACTTATCATCAATGAAGACAGTCTCGATGTTAGCTTTATATCATTTTAGTTATGCAGTTTATGTCATTTTCAGTTCAACCAACTTCTCACATAAAAATATCATGTGCAGTGATCTCTATATATGATGTCTTTTGTTCTTTCCACAAAATCAAATGATTTGAAGTGTGAAATTATACCACATTTAATTGGTTTCCATTCATGTGTACTACAGGAGTTGTAAAGTGTTTAGATTGTTTCCAGTAATGCAGAGTCATCATACCTTTCTCACTCATTAGAATGTGATTAATGAAGTTACCTGCCATAAATTCATGTAATACAGTGTCAGTCTCAGGTGTTTGTTAGATTTGAAGGTTTGCTTTGTGGTCTTCAATTAAACCAAAGCTGTTCCCATATTAATTGTTAGATTTACATACCTTCACACTTCAGATTCATATGTATGTCAGAACTCCTCTGTGACCCTCAAATTGGAAGTAATGGAAGACATTCTGCTTGCTAAACAGAGGAAGAAAAACCTCCATTTCATGTTTATTCCTTACTTGGGACTCATTTTCTGTCCCATTACCTCAGTGTTGAATTTCCTCAATTGATGGTATTTCTTTTCAGAACACACGTGAGGTGATTGCAAGGCACAGTTCAGAATTTGGCGACCAGTTGCGGAAACAAAATGAAGTGGCTCTGGTGATAGATGGAAAAACACTTAAATATGCACTAAGTTGTGATGTGCGCAGAGACTTTCTAGACCTCTGTGTTAGCTGCAATGTAGTGATCTGTTGTCGTGTGTCTCCCATTCAGAAAGCAGAGGTAAGGAATAAATAGTGTATATTCAGTAGAGGCAGAGCTTTAGTCTTAAAAATAAAGAACAAAGAATTGGTATTTGTTACTGAAATAGCTATGTAAGTACTATAACATTTCTTTGTTATTCAGAGTTTCAGAAAAAAATGCTGGCGGTAAAGAGACGGACTTGACACAGCTGTGTATGGAATTATTCTGTTAATGTATGAAAGGGAAAAAATTCTGTCACACACAACAACATTTATTTTATTAAGAATATTGTTGTATGTGATGGAATATTTTTCTTTTATGCATTTAAAGAACCACAACAGAATGTAAAAATTGGATATTGATTCTGTAACTTTATGCAGTCTATACTTATAAGTTTTTGTAGACATTGGCATGTTATGACAAGGGTTTCTTGTGTAATGACTGTAGAGGTAAATTGAGTAACACTATCTCTTGAATTAGATCAGAGGTCCATGCTGCCTCCATCATCAGGGTGATAATGGAGGCAGCATGGACCTCTGAAACGGTTGACATCTATTAGACTACGCGGCGCAACAACTCAGAAGACAGCAATCTTCACCTAGATTGATTGTTTTAGTTTAGTATTTTTTGTTTGTATGCTTCTTTTGGTTTATATCTTAACTGCGTCATGTTTGTGTTTAATCAAGTTGCAATCTACTGCCCATAATATCGGACGTACAACGTATCACTTACAACCCGATATAAACATCCAAGCATTAAAAGGAAGAAAATCAAAACAATCAAACGTATCAATATACGCGGAGCAGGATGTACAACAGTTTTTAAAACAGTTTTTAAATTGATTGACCTGATGATGGTGTAATACACCGAAACATGTCGTCAAATGTGAAATGTATCAAGATCTAATTCTATAAAAAATGTTGTAATTTTATGTAATTTTAAGTAAATTTTAACAACATTTTAAGTTTGTGTATGGACGGTGAATGAATTATTATATTGATTAAACACAAACATGACGCAGTTAAGATATAAATTATATAATTGTCAAATAAATTGCGTGTATCAATTTTTAAATTTGAAACGAAAGGTACTGAAATGCAACGCGAATATTAGATTCAACAAATTATGTTTAAAAGAAAGAATAACACCAAAATATGTAAAAATAAAAATACAAGGAAATAATCCTAATATACAAATAATTAAACAAAAGGCAGAAACATTATATATAAAAGCTGAAATCAAACAATTATACAAAAAGAAATACAAATTAAACTTATTAACATATAAAAAACATTTAGAAGCTGCAAACATATGGAAGGATGTATGGATAAAAAAAAAAAGTTGCAATCTACTGCCCCATAATATCGGACGTACAACGCATCACTTACAACCCGATATAAACATCCAAGCATTAAAAGGAAGAAAATCAAAACAATCAAACGTATCAATATACGCGGAGCAGGATGTACAACAGTTTTTAAAACAGTTTTTAAATTGATTGACCTGATGATGGTGTAATACACCGAAACATGTCGTCAAATGTGAAATGTATCAAGATCTAATTTTAAAAAATGTTGTAATTTTATGTAATCTTAAGTAATTTTAACAACATTTTAAGTTTGTGTATGGACGGTGAATGAATTATTATTATTATATTATTATATAGCTTCTTTTGGTGTTTGCCTGTTGCAGACACTAATTATAGAGGTAAGCTTACATTTCTTATTGTACTGTGTTATAGGTGTTCCTTTGCAGATTGTAATCTTTATTTCCAGTGGAATTATATACACCTCCACCATAACCTTTTGGGAAGACAAAACTGAAGAAACAGTTTTATTTTGTTTTAATTCTAAATGAGACTTGACTGATGTCCTAGCTAATTAATCTGATTGTAGGTAGTCGAGCTTGTAACGTCACATACCAAGAGTGTTACGCTTGCAATTGGTGATGGAGCCAACGATGTAGCAATGATCCAAAGGGCTCATGTTGGAATAGGTATCTCAGGTGTAGAAGGCCTCCAAGCAGCTTGTGCATCAGACTATTCTATAGCACAGGTGAGTGGGATTTATTCAAAACTCTTGATCTTAAAGCTTTAGTGTATGAAAGGTGGATTAAATCTTAATCTTCAAATAGTTTAAAAAAAGTATTAAGAGGACAGATTCCAAGTCCTCATGGCAACAAGTTTGAAGATGGCTGTGTTCTGAGATGCTGCTTGAGGTGGTGTGGTAGATATTGACTGATGTTTTAGAAGTGCTTATTGCATCCTCCATCAGGCAGTGAATGACTTAACATGCAACTTTCCAGAAGGCAGCCAGCTTCAAGTAATAAAAGGATTTGCTACTAGTGCCATCCATTTTACAGTTCTGTGAAGATTTTAATACCATTCATGCTACTAGTAAATGTGTTTATATAATGTGTTAGCATATAAATTTCAAGTATTATGTTTCAGTAGTTCAAGTTATTGTCTTCACCACAAAATATTTTATGTTCTTGACAAGTTGTTATTTTGTTTTAACAATGCCCTTAATAAAAGTTATACACCTCTTCTATACATATTACCAAATGTAATTTTGATTGGTTAACATTCTTTTATATCTATAAGGTTTAGGCTTGAATCTCAGCCCAGAGAACAGTTTTATTGTAACTTTTCTTGACTTTACCAGGGGAAGTGTCGTTAAGCATGCCATGCAAACGTCCTTCCAAATCTTTTTCAGTTCAATACAGTCATCATGCTATTCAGTGTTATATTATCACTGTAGTCAGAAAAGTTCCATAAAATAACCAAAAAATAGATTACAGATCCATGTCCACACAAAATCCTCAACATTTCTTACTGTATGGTGTTGGTGTTGCTCTGATCTTACCAGCTAGCAGAATCGCCACATTGTTGTTACTGATAACAAATTACAAAGTTCAAGACTAGATGGGTCCCATGTCACCACAACAACAGTTTTAGTTTGTTAGAATATTCACTGGGAAACCATTGCTACCATAACAAATTAAATAAATGTTCTCTACACACCCACTTCAGAATAGCCATGTTGAAAATACAGCATCACTTCATTGTTTTCAATTCATCTTTCATTTAATTATTGCTCAGCTTTCCTATATGCTTTTGTCATGAGGTAAAAATGAAGAAACATACTGACATTTGTTATTTCCTGTATTGTGTACAAATTTATTATTTGCAATGTATTCCATGAACAGTGAGTATAAATTCATCTGCTCAATAAATTTAATGTTATTACAAAACCTAAATATTCACAATTTTGATCACAGAATGTACCACTGGATCCTGTCCAGTACCAAGGCACTTCAGTGGATTTCTTAACCCCCTTAAACTTCAGTGGTAATTACATTTACCACCTGTTTTGATAATCATTATCTGCAGTTTTCCTATTATTAATTGTATTAATTTGTTTTGTATGATTCTTGGAGTAAACAGTAATTATTTTCTTATACATCATTAACCAGTTGATCTTTGTAATGGAGAAGTGTTGTTTTATTTGAGGTAAGAACTGAATTTTTAAATATTATTTAGACAAGCTTTTACTTCAGAGGGCTAACAGATAAGTTTTTAACCATTATGCTTTTTTCTTCCTTCATAAAAAAATGTAATTGTAAGGTGAAAAAGTGGTCTTACACAGAATAAATCTGTATATCACAGCAAAATGAGAAGATTGTTTTTTGATGTAGTCCAAGTTGAATTTTGCAGTGTATGGCAATGCATGGACATTTGACTAAAGTTAAATGTCACAGGATAATTTTTAAGGTAAAGGTTGTTAGCCTGATGCTGGAGGACCACCATTTGTTGGCCAAATGCTTTATTCAACATTTAAGGTTACTCTGTACCTGAACGTTATATCTCCATTATACATCTAACATGGATAGCATACAAAGGTTTCTGTGTCCTATATCCATTGATGGCTTGAGAGAGTAACATATATTTTAACTAGCTTTCAGTTGGTACTCCTTAGTTTTCAGAATTGCCAACTGCTTGTGAGATTCTGTGTAGGAAGCTTGTTAGCATCCTGAAGCAGTTGCATGTTGTCACAAATATTGCTGCAGTAGATTGAAATAACATGACATTC